CCCCCCGCACGCTCCCGTCCTCGCCCCCCCCCGTCCTTGCCGCGTCTTCAGCTCCCTTCCTAAAAGTGTTTTTTTCTCCCTGCAGGGACCTATGTCCTGTCTGCCCCCCCCATCAGCCTGAAGGAAGGAGAAGGTAAGACTTTTTTTCTTCTCTATGGTATAATCATGTTCGAGATCGGCCTACGTTGGCGGCATTGATTAAGATAACAAACAATAAATTGGTTGAAGGATTACGCCGGTGTTCATGTGTGACGTTTAGTGACATCCGTATATCGCACAATGTAAAAACATCACCATGTGCCGACCAATCTAGAATAGGCCAATCCAACTGAGGTCTAATGAACCATACAGCATGTCATGTGACGTCATGTCTGCTGCAAATGAAGGTGATATTAGATGGAAAGGACTAGGACTCAAATCACACTCTAAGAGCAGCTGTGCTTAATAGGTGAGTACAACCAAAATAGGAAAAAGGAAAATAGCATTGCGCTTCACAAACTCAAAAAATATTCCTAAAATGGTGAAATTGTCAGTGATAAAACAATTGTTATAAACAACACCTGTGTGTTGTGCAATGCCTGGACTAATAATGGTACAGAAAAGCTATTGGTCTAATGGTCTAGACTCTATTAACCATAATAAACATAGAAGAAAAAAAATATGTGAATACCAAAAAACATACACTTGTGCTAGTACATCTCATAGAATGTGTACATATACAAAGTCCCGTATTCAATCTCTCACAAGTCATGTAAAACTCCCACTTAATCTACATATCCAGATGTGAAGTCCATTACTTCTTGATGCAATGGAAGTCCTTGAACTATAAGCTTCCAACTTTTATAATCCACACCACGTTTGTGAATGCATAAACAATGAGTGAGTCAGTGCTCTCCACCGTGCTCAAAGATGAGATCTGGCCCACCGATGCAGACCGTCGCCTCAGAGGAAGTCAATAGTGAGGAAATGCACCAGGTGGGCGGATCCATGGGAGCATTACAATCATAGAGACAGGAACTCCAGTGGACACAATCCATGTGCAATTGCCTTCTTATTTTAATTGTAAATGCATTTTTTAATCGTTTTAAATACATTTATTCTGACCTACTACACTATGGGAAGCATTTCTTCTCTCTGAGTACAAGAGAAGGTTGGAGATGGAGGAATAGTATTGTATGGTTTTGGAAAGCCAGAGTTGTGAGGCGTATACCTCAATTTATTGTCGGATCAAAAACAAAGGCGAGGATTTGGTTGTGTGTGTGTGTGTGTGTACACGCGCACACACACGCATTGGTATCGGCGGCGATACCGAGTATTTGCATGAGTAATCGTGCAAATACTCCAATACACAAAACTAGTACCTGTGCCGCGTCCACCATCTTCAGGGACCCGAAACCGCCGCACACAGGACCTCCATCGCGAATTCAATTAAACAAGATGGCCGCAAACTCCTCCAAGTTCTCAGTCATCTGCTCCATTCTGACCTCTTCTCCCGCCGATTGGATGATTGACAGGCTTCCTCACCAGTCAAGAGTGACTGGTGAGGAAGCCTGTCATCATCCAATCAGAGGGAGAAGAGGTCAGAATGGAGCAGATGACTAGGCTGTGACACGGAGTGGCTGAAGCAGACGGAGAAGACGCCACAGCACAGCAGGTTAGTACTGCAGCGCTGCATGGGGCTGGGCACAAAATTGTTGTTTAACTACATATAATATTTAAAAATAAAGAAATTACTATGTAGATATTGCTAACTTAGGCTTGTATCCCCCTAGTGTGGAAAAATGAATAAGCACATGTCCAAACTCCAGACCAGAACATTCTATAGTGTGGCACCGCTATATCCAATTCTGCATACCTGGCTTTATATTATAAAAAAATGTAATAATAATATAAAGCCAGTTATACAGAATTGGATATATCTGTGCCACACTATACAGTGGTCTGGACATGTGCTCATCTATTTACCCCACTAGGGGGGTACAAGCCTTAGTTAGCACTAGCATGATCTAAATATTAATTTCATTATTAAATGTCTTTTTTGTTAAATATTTACATTTTAGAATATAAAAAAAGACATTGAATAATGAAATTAATATTTATCATGCCATTGCTAACTAAGGCTTGTATCCCCCTAGTGGGGAAGATAGATGAGCACATGTCCAGACTCCAGAACACTGTATAGTGTGGCACAGCTATATCCAATTCTGCATACCTGGCTTGATATTATAAAGTTCTTATAATATCAAGCCAGGTATGCAGAATTAGATATAGCTGTGCCACACTATACAGTGTTCTGGTCTGGAGTCTCTACATGTGCTCCTCTATTTTCCCCACTATGGGGATACAAGCCTTAGTTAGCAATGGCTTGATAAATATTCATTTCATGTTCTTCATAATAAGAAACTAACCTAAAATCATGCTTTTGTATTGCTTTTAAAAAAATGTGACCTGTCCCTTTAAGAAAAAGTATCGGTAATTGGTATCGGTGAGTACTTGAAAGAAAGTATCGTTACTCTTAAAGTGGTAGGTGATTTTATATATATATATATATTTTTTCAAAAAAGCGCTAATTGTTCATCTGAAATATGGTGAGCAATAGGAGTCGAGTGCAGCCAGATCTTATCTTTGAGCACGGTGGAGAGCACTGATTCACTAATTGTTTATGCATTCACGGATGTGGTGTGGATTATAAAAGTTGGAGGATATATCACCACATATTTCAAGGACTTCATTGTATTAAGTAAAGGACTTCACATCTGGATATGTAGATTAAGTGGGAGTTATACATCACTTGTGAGATTGAATACAGGACTTTGTATATGTACACATTCTATGAGATGTACTAGCACAAGTATGTTTTTTTTTCTATGTTTTTATTATGGTTTGTAGTGTCTAGACCAGGGGTGCCCATTAGGTTGATCGCGATCTACCAGTAGATCGCAAAGCAAACACTGGTAGATCGCGATCGGCTCACTTACCTGTGTCCTGTCCTCCTGCGGTGCTCGTGCGGATGAATGTGACCAGACAGGAAGGAGAGACGAGAGGAGACTTGGGAAGCTGCTGCAGTGGAGGTAAGAAAAGACAGACAGAAGAGAGACGACCGAGAAAGTGAGAGAAGAGACAGCAGAGAGAGAGGAGAGAGACAACCAAGAAAGTGAGAGAAGAAACGGGAGATAGAGAGAAGAGGGCCGGTTCACACCACAAAGTCTGCGTTCCAGAGTGTTCGGCCTCTTGAACGCATTGGAACGCAAGCCAGCTGGCTCCCTGCATTTAGGCGAGGTGTGCGTGGCGGTGCATGGCACCACAGCCCGCCCTCAGTGTGATCGCCAGAACACAGGCACATTAATGCCTGCATTCCGGTCCAGCGTGATCTGCAATAATGCAACATTTTTGCAGATCGCACTGGACCGGAACGCAGTCACTAATGTGCCTACATTCCTGGTGTGGCGATTGCACTGGGGGCGTGGCTGCGGTGCCATTTACTTCAATGCACCGCCACGCCCCCTCCCGCCCCTGAATGCAGGTGTTTTTTCGTTGGTAGATCTCATTGAGCTCGTCATTTGAAAAGTAGATCTCCAGACGACAAATTGTGGGCGTCCCTGGTCTAGACCATTAGGCCAAGATTTTTTCTGTACTATTAGCACGGGTGTTGTGGATAACACAATTGTTTTATCACTTTGTGACAATTTCACAATTTATAATATTTTTGGAGTTTGAAGTGCAGTGACATTTTCTTTTTTCAAATGAAGGTAATAAGCTAAAGGAAAGAAGGGGGGGGGGGGGG